TTTGGTGTGGTAGAAAAAACAAATAAAACTATTTTGAGGAATGTAGGAAATTGAGTTGGTTAATGGATTATGCAGATCTTTTAACCATGTTTAAAATAACCCCCCCGCACTCCCCCCGCTTTTGGCACATGACAGCAAAAAGGTTAAGCATCACTGACCTAGATAATATTCTTCCCCTCCTCCTTGATGCCAGAATTAAGACAGCATTTGTCTTGAATGAATGATAGGCAATTCACTACCTTGGTACCACAAACAATTACACTCAGATAGAGGAAGCCATTGAAATACAAACATTAATTTAGCAACCATTCAAAGTTACAATGGCACTGAAAAAAAAAGTGACTTATGACTCCTCCTCACACTTATGACTGTTGTAGCATGGTCACATGATCAAAATTCGGATGCTTGGCAACCAGCATGAATTTAGGATGGTTGCAGCATCCTGGGATGATGTGATCATCATTTGTAACTTTCCCAACTAGCTTCTGACAAGCACAGCCAATGGGAGAAGCTGAATTCATTTAACGACCACATGATTCGCTTAAGAATAGCAATGGTTCACTTAATAACCATGGCAAAAAAAGGTTGTAAAATCATGTACAACTCACTTAACTTGCTTAGCAATGGAAATCCTGGGCCCAATTGTGCTCATAAGTTGAGGACTATCTCTATGGCATTCTAGTTCAGAGTGACACCTGGGTGCCATACTATTTATTACCCTTCCCTGCTCATATATTTTGTTCATAGAGAGGAAGCTTTTCTATTGGTCTCTTCTATCTCGACAAGAGGAAGCTGACAGGGAAAACAGCAGTAGCGTTTCTCCAGACTGAATTCTACTGATGATCCCATCAGTGCTGGAACATATAAATGCCACACAGCTATAGACTGCAGACATCATGTGCTCCTGTCTGAAGAGTCATATAAAAAGAGTTTCCTTAAAATATAAAATTAGTTGTTTGCACTTGATGTCAGTACATTCTTATTTTTAGGAATTAATTGCTGTTAAAAAAAAAACTTTAGAACTAAATACATATCTTTTTTTTTCAGACCACTGTGTAGCCAAAAAAAGTTTTCTAAGGAGTTTCCTTTGGGGAGTAAATTGACATTTTAATTTTTTTAAAAAAATCACATTAACTTTTTCAAGTTTCTAGCAAATGGAAAAATGGCTTTTTATTATTTTATGACACACACAAACAGACACACACACATATACTTTGCTCTGGATGTTTTATGACTGCAAAAACAGAAATTGCGGTTTTAACTGTTAAGACTTGATGCAAAGGGCTATGGAACCTTTTATGTAACCTGATGGCCTGAATAATTATCCAAATATTTTGCTTTCCACCCTTTCTAAGTTTTTGCATGAGGGGGAAAAAAAGTATAGGCAACCTCTCAACCACAAAATAACAATAATAAAAAGACCCCTTCACAAAGCCTACTCTCATTACTACAGTAGGTCCTGTAAGAGGGAATCTTGGTAGCAAATTTCTGCAGGGTATCAGAAAAGGACCCTTATCATCTACTGCTTGGGAGAAGAGGGAGGCCTGGGGACTGGGCAGTTGTGTGGAAAAATAGTATTACCAACTGGTCATACTAGCAGTAGCATAAAATAGCCACTGAAGGGCCTCCAGACATAGAGTTCTCTGGAAATTACCCTTAGTGTATCTGAGACGAAAAATATATATCAGACTGCTCTTTCCACTCAGCTGAATAGAGCCCAATGCATTTGACTATCATTTCTACGTATCAAAAATCTTGAGATTCTCTAGAATGGCATCGCAGAGACAAAGACAATCCATTAGGGATTGTCAGTTTGGGGGAAGCTAGTGCAAACCACGTTATTATTGTGCTTCTACCACATATACGTCTGCAAAGGAAATCTGAGATGCTGAGGAAAGATATGGTAGATTTCTTATCCATTCTCCAAGGATACTTTTCCACTTGAGAGATAAACAATCTACAATCTCACTGCTGTGGGATTCATTTTATTTATTTATTAGATGTTGTTCCCGCCTTTATTGTTTTTATAAATAACTCAGAATGTCGAACATACATAATTTCTCTTTTTTCATCCTTTTTTTCTCCACTATAATCCTGTGAGGTGCGTTGGGTTGAGAGAGACTGGCCCAAGATCACCCAGGCTGGATTTCATGCTTAAGGCAGGACTACAACTCACAGACTCCTGGTTTCTAGGCCAGTACCTCAACTACCACATCAAACTGGCTCTCAAACTGAGATTACATAGTTAATATAATTAAATAATACATAGATTATTATACACTCTATTTCTCTTAGCTTCCAAGAACGTCTACCTAAAACTGCTGTGTCTTTTTTATGTTGAAGCAATATACACCCTTTATTATAAAATAAAATAAATAAAATGTTTGTGTGTGTGGAGAAATGAAAATCAGAGAGCCCCTTCTCTGCATCTGCTCTGCGTCTTGTAGCAATCTGCTCTCCAAACATGACAACTGCCACCTTGGTTTCCAAAAGATTGCCATCCCTAATATGGACCAAGTGTCCTTCTGTCCACCCTCCTCCTGGGAAGCCAATAGCGTATAAATATTGGCAGTCAATCAGTGCCGCTTCTCCAATCCTGTTTTACAGACACAGGAGGGGAAAAAAAAGTCAGTCTCTCAAAGAGATCCCTCTGCTTGATTTAAAGAGCATAGTGGAATAGCTGTAGCATCTTGACTATAGCAGAAAAAGGGAAACCACAAATTAAAAGAGATGACAGTTCTTGCTAGTAAGTAACCACCTAGTTTGCACCTAGAACATTAATAATGTATTGGCAGTCTTCGATTTATAACCAATTTATAACCAATTGAGCCCAAAATTTCTGTTGCTAAGTGAGACAGTTGTTAAGTGAATTTTGCCCCATTTTGCAACTTTTGCCACAGTTGTTAAGTGAATCACTGCAGTTCTTAAGTTAGTAACAAAGTTGTAAAATGAATCTGGTTTCCCCATTGCCTTTGCTTGTTAGAAAGTCGCAAGAGAGGATCACATGATCCCAGGACAGTGCAACTGTTATAAATAAAAATCATTGCCAAACATCTGAATTTTGATCATGTGACCATGGGGATGCTTCAATAGCTGTAAGTGTGAAAAACAGTGATAAGTCACTTTTTTCAATGCTGTTGTTAAGTTCAGACAGTCAGAAAATGAACTATTATAAGTTGAGGGTTACCCATACAACGTTACACTATATTTGCTCATATTTTTAAATAGAAATCTATGAAGCAAAGCTGAACTATGGGTTGATCAGTTCAGCCGCATAGGAGTTAATGAAGGCCTCCAGTGTTGTTAGACACATATATGTGACATCAGTGCACCCAGGTGTATCAAAGCCTCTCAGTACTTATGAGGCATGACCTCACTAAAATGGTCACCAAGGATAGACAGACAGACAGACAGACATGATAGATGATGATAGATTGATAGATAGATAGATAGATAGATAGATAGATAGATAGATAGATAGATAGATAGGCAGGCTGGCAGGCAGGCAGGCAGGCAGGCAGGCAGGCAGACAGACAGACAAATAGACATGAAAATAATATGACTGAATGGGAGCAGAGATAAAAAAAAATAACTTTTGCTCTTTGCTCCAATGGTCCTCCAGATTTTCACAGCCTAGATATTATAGCCCTGATAAAATGACGGTAGTTTTGGATGGATTGTCTTTATTCAAGGGTCTTCACATGCAGGATGAGATGTGTGATGTGGATAAATAATAATAATAACTTTATTGTCATTGTACGTGTATACACAATATACCCATAAAACGAAATTCACCTAACACCCAAAGACCAGGTCCAACACACATAATTTGGTTTGCTTCCCATTCCACTCTATGATGGCACTCAAGGAAGCAATAAAAGGATAGCTCAGCAGAGGCTCTGGCTATGGATTCCATAGGATTCTATTCCACATGACCATTTGTGACCCTGACCAAATCATCTAGGGCCCACTTGACCTAAATCCCTGTGGAGGGCTTGGTAGTAACTCCAGCAGAGCAAGATCAGCATCAGAGAGATAGGACCCAAAGTATTCAGACTCCCTTGGGACACATAGCTGAAGACTTTGGAGTAGTTGAAGGACTGGATGAATCTTGTGTAACACTCAATGTTTAAAATAGCTGTCCTAGTTTTGCACCTTCCTAACGGAATCCTAATGGAATCCTAATGGGTCCTAATGACTATAGTGTCGACACATGTTTTCCCAGGAGACAAATGAGGAGAATCAAAACTAGTGTACTATTTAGTAAAATAGGGGACTCCTGTAGAAGACCATTGGGATCAAAAGAAAATGCCGTCAAATCAGCAGTTCCTTCAATGGGGTGGTAGGCAGCAAGGAAAATCATCCTACTTGGATTAACTACTTTGGCTGCTTCAACATTTTTAGCCTTTGGCCATTGAATCAGTCGGAGGAAGTTCCGACGCTCAAGTGACCATGTTCTGCTGATTAGACTTTAATTGAGACTTTTGCCAAATGTGGATCTGTCACCATTCCTAATAACCCCAAGGAAGATTTTAAAGGCAGCCGAGGGAGACGGCTCCCCCGGTATCTGCTCTGCCTTCTGATTCTCCCACCAGGTGAACACAATGCCGAACAATGTCTTGCCAATGCCTGCAGGCTGAAGCTGGGCAGCTGGCCATTGAGGAGCCAAGACCCCGGGGACTTCAAAGGGAAGAAGTTAATGGGATGCTCTATGCTGTGGCTCGTGGTGCCTGGGGTTTCACAGCTGGGCTCTGGCCATGTGATGATCACTCACTCTGCTTGCTCATTAAAATTGTGGCAGTAAAGGAACAGAATGCCCTGTTAGGAGGAGATTTATTGGATAACTCTTCCCTCGGGGACAAGGTCAGGCCACTACAGACACTACAGAAGCCAATGCAGTTTTAACATGGATCGACATCCCAAAGTGGCAAAATTAAATCTCTGTCCTCAGGGAACATCACCCCCCTCTTTACCATGCCTTTTGTCATTTCTTTTCCCAGTTATGTACATTGGAGGGATTCAAGAAGCCTCTGTGTTGGAGTGGGAAGGGACCAGTGACCTTTTCACATCACTCTCTCAATCCGTGAAAGCAGAGGAAAAATGCCTGCAGTAGAAGAGCAAAGCGGATGCCTTCGTCACGGGCAAAAATGGCCTCACTTCATCCCATGCAGCAGAAAGATGTTGGAATGATTTCAAATACGCCTGGATCAGGATGGCTGCCATCTGCTAAAAGTCCAATATCGCACAACAAAAGTTTGGGGTGAAGCAGATTCTTTTTTGGGTAATGATGATTTCACCAAGCCATATTAAATCCCTAAAATTATAAATCCCTTGTGTTCCCTTATCTGAAAATGATCTAAATAGCTTATTCCAAAGTAAGAGCTGACTGCCTCTCTTCGCCAAAGAGTCAGAAAGGGGAACAGAGGATATACTGTATATGGAAGGATCCAATATTTATTCCATTTAACTAACCCAGATTAATACTACATCTTCCACAGTGGCAGTCACATTCAGGATCAGTACAGGTAATCCTCAACTTTCAACAGTCCATTTAGTGACCATTCAAGGTTACAATGGCACTGAAAAAAGTGACTTATGACTGTTTTTCACACTTATGACGGCTTGCAGCATCCCCATGGTCACGTGATGAAAATTCAGATGCTTGGCAAATGGTTCATACTTATGACTGTTGCTGTGTCCCAAGGTCATGTGATCACCTTTTGACAAACAAAATCAATGGGGAAGTCAGATTCACTTAAGAACAGTGTTACTAACTTATCAATTGCAATGATTCACTCAACAACTGTAGCAAGAAAGGGTGTAAGATGGTGTAAAACTCACTTAACAAATGTCTCATTTAAAATAAATTTTGGGCTCAATTGTGGTCATAAATTGAGGACTACCTGTAATTTATTTGTTTAAGTTTTCTAGTAATCCATGGACTCCACCAATGGCAGAAAATATGGTTCATGAACTTCATGGTACTAGTAAACCCAAGAAATTTTCAGCCATTTTGTTGCCTTAGCTAGCAGAACCAATAGTCTACTCTTACGTCTTCTTGAGTGAAATGTCTGAGAACCTAAATAGAACCTACAAACATTGTAGTGGCCTTAAACAGTCACAAATTTATTAGGCAGGATTGGACAGTTATTCCCGAAACCCGATTCCTAAAATGGTTTCAATTACCAGTGTGGAATAATTAATTTATGGATTTGAATGACTGCTATGACAGCATTATTCACTTACTTCATTGCAATCTATGTTGCTGACTAATGCTCATATCAACACCTCTGAAGCAAGCATCAGGCCCTTCAACCATCTGCACATTAGTTTGATTTCTCCAAGGAGAACCTTTCCAGACCATTTGATCTAATTGAGGTAGTGGAGAAATTATTTTAATGCCAAAATACATTCCCTTCCCAAATCACTCCTCTTGTTCATGTTATAAGACAATAATATTTATGAAGTTCCTGACAGCTAAATTTTAAGGCAGCAAAGCTCCATTCTTTAGTATTCGTTGCTTTCTCCATAACTTGATTTGGAGAAACCATGTTCTAAATATTATTTGGTATCCTCCTTAAATATCAGGCTTGGCTTCCTTCATAGCTATAAAGTCTGACCTAACACTTTCCATATGAGATTTACTTACTCCATTCTCTTCTTTGAATCTCACCTGGGTATAATGTATACATAATACCTCAATATTTATTAAAACAACTCCCCAAAATGGAAACAAACATTTTTACAAGCATGTGTTCCTGCTTACTATCAAGAGCCAGAACTTCTTGGGAAAAATGGTGACTGTAAACGACTAAGATTGTACTTATGTGGTTTTGATGAGACCTTTTTGGAGAAACCATGTTCTAAATATCGCCTTTATTTTTCCTTTCTGTAAAACATATCGGCACACAGTAAGAGAAAAACTTCTGCTTATAATTAACTAATTGCCCAGATATGGACAATCAATTCACTTTTCAGTGTCTTTCTTTGACATGAAGACCATCAAAATAAGTATGAAATAAATGGTCATCTAGATCAGTGTTCCCCAACCTTTCTGGCTCTGCAGACTGGCAGTGGCTGTGATGGGAAGGGGTGGTTTTGCATGGGCAACCTAATATAAGCATGTGTAAATTGAGCCTTGTGCACTTAACCACTGCTTCCATGGTCCAGTTCTCAACAGGCTGTGGACCGGTACCGGTACTGGTCTATAGTCTGGGGCAGTGGTGGGTTTCAAAAACTTTTATGACCGGTTCTGTGGGTGTGGCTTGGTGGGTGTGTCATGGCTTGGTGGGCGTGGCTTGGTGGGCGTGGCAGGGGAAGGATACCGTAAAATCTCCATTCCCACCCCAATCCAGGGGAAGGTTACTGCAAAATCCCCATTTCTTCCCAATCAGCTGGGACTCGGGAGGCAGAGAATAGATGGGGGTGGGACCAGTCAGAATTTTTACTACCGGTTCTCTGAACTACTCAAAATTTCTGCTACCAGTTCTCCAGAACTGGTCAGAACCTGCTGAACCCCACCTCTGGTCTGGGAGTTAGGGACCACTGATCTAGATAACTTATAAAAAAATAGCTGATAGAAACTTCCTTCCTTCTGTCATTAAAACATTGCTAGTGAAATGTAGTATTCATCGACAGGTAGTCCTAAGGATTAAAGAAATGTTAGGATTTATTTGTGTATTAACACAGAAATATTGCATGGGGTAAGGAAGACAAAAAGAGGGATGGTTTTATGGAAGTTGTACCCTAAATCAATTGATTTCCTTTCACATGGTTTATTTTCTCCTTCCAGGATTTTATTTTGGGTTCTTCATAAAACCACAGGGAATCAATTTATACCTTTGATTTTCATGTGTAAACCTTGCATATCTACTACCACCATCAAATTTTTATTGGATGCTTCACCCATCAGGAAAGAAAAAAAAAAAAGAACGAATAAGCATTTGTGTGTTTAGCCATTCAGAAAAAATGGGACTGAATACTTCCATGGCCAGTGATGCAAGACAGCCATCAGAGTTGCACACAAAAGAATGACAGAGTCACAGGGGGTACCATTTTATTGAATGGTACCCCCCCTCTTTTATTGAGAGAGAGAGAAAACATTTTTTTCCAAAAGAATTTCTGAATTTGTATAGAAACAAGAGAAGCTTTTGATAGATCCATTTCATCTCTACTTTGCTCATGTTTGATACCTCAGGGAGATGTCCTTTGTATCCTTTGAAAAATCATTGTTTTCATTTCATGTTTGCAGGCAGCTCTGTTGTACATCCAGCAATACAGTTTTTTATTCATGGTTTCAGATTAACAGAGTTGGAAGGGACCTTATAGGTCATCTAGTCCAACCCCTCCGGTCAAGCAGGAGACCCTACACCATTTCTGACAAATGGCAGTCCAATCTCTTCTTGAAAGCCTCCAGTGATGAAGCTCCCACAACTTCCGAAGGCGAGCTGTTCCATTGGTTGACTTTTCTCACTGTCAGAAAGTTCCTCCTTATTTCTAGGTTGAATTTTTCTTTGGTCAGTTTCCATCCATTATTCCTTGTCTGGCCTTCAGGTGCTTTGGAAAATAGCTTGACCCCCTCTTCTCTGTGGCAGCCCCTCAAATATTGGAACACTGCTATCATGTCTCCCCTGGTCCTTCTCTTCACTAGACTAGCCATGCCCAGTTCCTGTAACTGTTCTTCATATGTTTTAGTCGTCAATCCCCTAATCATCTGGTTGCTCTCCTCTGCACTTTTTCTACAGTCTCCACATCTTTTTTATAGTGTGGTGACCAAAACTGGATGCAGTATTCTAGGTGTGGTCTTACTAAGGCTTTATAGAGTGGTATTAGTACCTTTCTCTGCCCTGCCCACTTCACAGATGCAGTAGTAGTCTGCAGTAGTCTGAAGTAGTCATAGCAAATCCATTAAAACAATCAACCTTTTTTGACACCTTCTGGCATTATCTTGGAGAGCCTTTCCTCTTTTATTAGAGTTTTCTCTCTTTTTAGTGTTTGAACCACTACTTTTTTTTCTTGGGTTTCAGGTGACTGAAGGGCTGTGCCATGTTTCTTCAGATTCTAAGGACCACCAAATGAGTCACCCAATGCTCAAGGTATATTTTTAGTTCTACAGTTGTGCCAGTTCTAAGCTTGGCTGACAATGAATAAACTAAGGATGTGTGAAACCCACAAAAGGAATGTCTCTAACCTCAAATCATCATTTTCTAGGGGGAAAATGCTTGTGCAAATTGTGTTTATACTGCAATCCCTCCACAATTTATTTATATATATTGTCTTCTTATCCATAACATGGTAGTACACAAACAGCAATAAAGAGCTGTTGTAGAAATTTCAACTAAATAGCATGCAGAATAGAGAACAACAGGGCTTCGAGTAAACAGAAATTATGGAGATCTTAAAAATAATAGAGCAGTTGAATTCCACTTTCTGGAAAAAAATGACACAAATTACAAAGCAAAGAAACCAGGTGGATTTATAATGGGAAAGAATCTCATAGCTCCAGCACTATATTTGCAATATAATCAACTGCTATGAATGCATATATTATCGCAGCCTTTCCCAATTTGCCACCCTCCTGATGTATCAGGACCATAAACTACAGAATTACCAAGGAACAGGGATGATAACAATTGCAGTTTGGCAGATCGAATCTCACCAGGCTCAAGGTTGACTCAGCCTTCCATCCTTCTGAGGTGGGTAAAATGAGGACCTAGATTGTTGGGGGCAATTATGCTGACTCAACTGCAGCTTGTAAATCAGTTACAACTCTGCTAATCTTCTATACTCATTTCCACAAGCAAAAAGTTCTTCACTCTTTCTTTCCTACTGCTGCTAGCTTTTGAAATCCCCCAACTGTGAGAATTCATTTCTATTTTAGGACCTCAGGACCCCTTGCTTAATCTAACCGACACAGTGGTGGGTTTCAACCGGTGTTACCACCGGTTCGCTTTGTGCGTGCAATTTCCGTGCAATTTGCTCGCATGCACGCCGAACTTGCGCTCTGCGCAAGCGCATTCTATTTCAGAACAGCTGAGGCATGGCAATCCGCTCTGCCATGCCTATCAACTGGGCTAAAAATGAGCAAATATAGGTAGATATAGCACAGGGGCGGGTGGGAGGGCCCAGCTGATAGTCGGAGTGAACTGGTTCGCTCTCATCTCACCATCGCCGCTACCGGCTCTCCCGAACCAGGGAGAACCGGTAGCAACTCACCGCTGAAATGTCACTGAAAATGAACCGAGAAACAGAATAGCCATCCCTATTTCCTCTAGCAATCTATCGGTCTTTCCCTCAGTT